ATCGTCAAAGGTATATGTACCTTTGACGATTTATATTATATTTATTCAACAGTGTTAACGGCTAACTCCCTTCAATATCATATATAATATACGATAGTATTTCTAGCCGTATTGCCAGATTTATCTGGCCAAACGCCCTCTTGAGGCGTAGCATTGTGTAATACAATGTTCCCGACGGTTGTTTGGACCTGTTCAACCATGATGCCTTCGTGGTCTAGTGGTTATGACGCTCGCCTAGTCAGTGAGAGGTCGCAGGTTCTAATCCCGTCTGAGGCATTTTATTACACAATGACTTTTATAGGACTTTATTCGTTGAAAAGCTACAGGGTAGATACGATGTTCCATCATGTCCTTATTTAAACACTGTATATGTACCTTTGATGATTTATATTATATTTATTCAACAGTGTTAATGGCTAACTCCCTTCAATATCATATATATATATATATATATATATATATATATATATATATAATAATCAGGATATTAATATATCCTGATAGGTAAAACTATCCTTAAATAGAAATAATCATTACAAACAATAATTACTCTGCTACCAGCAACTTGTAAAATACCAGAACTAAAGAATAACTGATTGCTTAGAATGGTTACCATGACAATAGACCGACACACGGTGCCACGAATAATTTGCCAATCTAAAAGATGAGCTCAATCCTGACCCAATAACCACATAGCCAAACTAGTAGTAGGTTCCATTTTTGACATAGCAAACTTGCATATAGGTCTACCATGTTAATAATAATTCATTAAAAAATAAAAACAATAATTAAATTTAAATTTATTACCACATAGACATCAGAAGAAGTAGAAAGCAAGTTTAAGAATTGACGAACTAGAAGTAAAGCACATGTTTAAACTTTCACCTACATTAGTGGCGCGTGATTTGTTGTTTTTTTGGATGAGGGCCAAATTCACACTGCCTCTAGACTTTAGGCTTGAATCTTGCTGCTGTTGTATTTAGTAAAAGATTGAATTGAATTGAATTTATTTGATTTCTCTCTATATACAATATATAAAATACATAGAAAAAACAAGTCATTTTAAAACCAAATAAAAACACAAAATATACAAATACAAAAAGAGAAAAGTCCATAACCCATTAAATTATAAAGTTTGTTTCCGATGGGGTCCACAACAAACATAAAGACAGGAAGAAAAATATCAAAAATCAGCATTAAATATTTTCATAAAAGCATTTAAAATGGAACAATCAATAAAAATTCAAAAAAACTTTAAAAGGCAAGTATGAATCAAAGAAAACAGGAATCGATGGCAAAGGTTGTGTTTACGAACTTTCAACGAAACCGGATAAGTCAAAAATTACATAATGCCCAGAGGGTAGGTCATTAGATCACTTACGAACCCCAAGTTATTCGGACACGGACCGTAAGGTATAGGCCTTTCATGTAAACAAAACAAACACTTCACCGCTTAGCCTTCCTCAGCCCAACAAGGCAATTCAACAACGAATTGCCTCGCCTTGCCTACGCTCGAACTCCAACCAATTCTAAAAAAAACCAGGCCTTAGAAACTAGAGCCTAGCCAACTGAAAAAATTTTTTTTAAAAAATTACAAAAAAAACAAAGGAAAAAAAATAGCCTACGGACTTACTACTATTAGTTCCACTGGTGTTCAGAGCCGACAACGACATGTCAACAGTTTGTGGTGGACAAGAAATGGGTCTATATCGCTAAAAATTTCGTTCATCATCTCAAAATACGGCCATTCTGTTGTGGGGGGGGGGGGTTTCGTGACTTCCCGTTGGAGTCCTTTTCCTGGGTGTATTTTTTTGCGCAGGTTCTTGCATTTGGTATTCTATCTGTGCGTGCGTAAAGTTATAACCCATTTCCCGCATCTTTATAAGATAAGATTTCTTTATAAACGGCGTTGTTCCGTCGGGTTCCATCAAAACCATCTTGTATGGATGTCGTTCCCCATATGCTAGTTAACGTTTGGGTTGCTTCGTCAGTCCACCCACTCTGTTCAGCTGCAGCCATTGTATATAGCGGTATATCGTTGTAAAAATAAACTTAATATTTTGGCTTAAAATTGGATAATATAATTTATAAAGTGAGGACTACTCTAGCGTTGTCACTGGATGAAAGCATGGATGATTGCGGTCTCAAGTGCTTAATCTGAATAGATTTCTCATAAAAGTAAGGTCAGTTGACACCATGCCGTGGGCTATTGCGCCCGAGGCAGCCTCCAACCCTCCAAACTTATCCAGAAAGGATAAGCCCGGAAAGTCCAGATGTTTGAGTAATTATAGCTAGTTGAGGAATGATTAATTATCACCTTAGGCTTGAGTTATCCGGTTTTCGAAAGTTCGTAAACGGGCCCAAAATTAAGAGTGGCCTATATCAAAACGTCAAAAATAAAAATTTGGTAATAAAAGCTTTAAAGGTTATACATTTTATAAAATAGTCATCGTCTCCATAAGAAATTGCTTAACTTTAATTTTAAAATAACTTTTAGAAGTGATTGATTTTATTTCATTTGGCAGCTTATTCCAGTGTTTTATTGAATTATAATAAAATGTCTTAGAAACATCACCATTATTTTTATTAACAATAAACTTTTTTTGCCTCCTTCTTGTGTTGTAAACATGATTAACTAGAGGAAAATTTTCCAAGATCTTTAACATTTTTTTTCGAACCGAAAATAATTAATTCAGTCTTTCCCATATGTAGGGAAAGATTGTTATCAACAAGCCATTCGTTGCAATTTTTAATGTTTCTGGTTAAGACAGTTTTCACCTGCGTGAGATGATATTCTGAATAGTAAATTGCACTATCATCGGCATATTGGATTAAACTGCTATCTATAGAGGCAGGCATATCATTTATATAACACAAGAACAGAAAGGGGCCAAGAATACTACCTTGGGGTACCCCATATGATATTTCATTAGGTTCAGATAACGTATTATTTACACATACTTTTTGCATCCAATTTGCAAGGTAAGATTCAAACCATTTTGTTGATTTAACTCGCATAGTAGTTAACTTTTTACATAGAATAGAATGTGAGACACAATCAAATGCTTTCTGGATGTCTAATAATATCATACCAGTAAATAAACCACGAGATGTTTGTTTTCTTATGTGATCTAATAAATAAATAAGTGATGTTTCAGTCAAGTATGAACCTCTAAAACCAAATTGAAAGGTATGTAACAAATTATTTTCTGTCATATAATTATCTAACAGTAAAAACACTGCTCTTTCTAATATCTTTGAAATTACTGAAAGAATACTGATAGGTCTGTAATTTTCTGCTTCTAATTTACTCCCCTTTTTGTAAAGTGGTTTGACCCGAGCGGTTTTCATCTCGTCGGGAACAATTTCTAATTTTATAGAAAGATTTACTATGTGTAAGTGGCCCTTTTATAACTTCAACAGCATCCTTTAAAAATCTAATGGGTAAATTTCAAGTCCAGTACTATTATTTATATTAAAACTCTGAACTTGTTCAACAACAAATTTTTCGTTGACCTCATGCAATGTAAAATTAATTTAAAATGAATTTCTGTAAAATTCCTTAAAATGTTGTGAACCAACATGAAATACATTTTTTCTCTGAGGTAATTGACTAACTAACCTTGATGCATTATTTGTAAAGTATTTATTAAAAGCATTTGCAACAGTAATATTATCATGACACAAATTCCCATTAATATTTATAGCAATTTTATGTTCATTATTGTTTTTAGTTTTATACCCAAGGTTTTTAATACATTCCCAGAGTTTCTTTGGATTATTGTTATTTTTTAAAATTTTTTCTTTAATATAATTTTGTTTTGCACTCTTACAGTCATTGTTAACTTTTGAAGTTCACGGAAAATGTTTCGATAATCAGTATTGTTTTTATACTTCCTTGATTTATTTAACATAGTATCTCGTTCTTCAAAAGCCAACAATAATTCTGGAGTTATCCACGGTTGACTTTTTGGTTTCACGCGGGCGTCTTTTGGCGGAGCTACATTGTCAATAGCGGCTTTAAAATTTTTAGCAAAATTTGACCATGATTCATTTACGTCATTGGTTTGGTATACTGACGACCAATCACATTGGCGTAAAGTGAATTCAAAAAGTTCTTTATTGTAACTTTTGAGGGTTCTGACTCTGATTTGCTTGTGTTCGTTTGCTGATTTTTTTTTTTCATACAGAAAACCATTGAGTGGTCACTCATTCCACATGTGATTACTCCATATTGACATAGTATGTCTGCTGAGGTACTAAAAATATGATCAAGTGAGGTAGATGTATTTTCCGTGACCCTTGTTGGTTTGTGAATGATTTGTTTGTATCCATTTCCATGAAGCATTTTTTCATAATTGCGATAAGATGGATCTCTTCGAAGACTGCACATATTTGTGTCTCCTAAAACATAAATTTCAGATGATAAGGTCATTTATTTAGCACCTTTTCCAACTTGTCGGTAAAATTTCCACAGGCATGTGATGTGGGACGATAACAGACACCAATAATTAAAGGTTTGTTTTTAGGAAAAGCAATTTCAATCCACAATGCTTCAAAGTCGTTGTGTAGTAGGTCTTGTCTATGTGTGTAGACAAGATTGGACCTCACATATAGGCAGACTCCTCCACCCTCTCTGTTCCTGTCTTGTCTAACAACAGAATATCCAGGAATATTAATCTCATTATCAGTTATTGACAAATCAAACCATGTTTCACTGACCGCGATCACAGCTGCATGTGTTTTTCTTGCGATGTTTAGTTGAGTAATTTTATTAACTAATGATCGCGCATTTATGTGAATAACCCTTGCTTTGAAATACTTAGTAGTCTCTACCATTAGCAATTTGTTTGTTCAATTTACATTGTGATAATTTATAATTGTCTTCAATATGTTTTTCATTACAATAAAATGGAAGTGCGTGTAGAGCAGAAGGCATCTTTGGCATGTCCATAATGGGTTGGCGATTTTTTTTACTCATAACCTTTTCAGAACATTTGCTGTGTAGTTTCTTAACACATAGGTTACAAAATATGAAATTACTCTTGGAGTTAAATCCTCTTTTGCAATATTCACAAGTATATCCCTTAAAATTTCTCTCTGAGGTGACAGTTTCGTTTGATGTGGCCAACTCGTTGACAGTTGTAACATGTGGGTCCTGTTCGCAATGAATTATATCTTCTCATATGTACATTTGGTCTGTCTCGAAACCGACTACGAAACGATAACACGTAAAATTCATGTCATCATGCGTATCCATGGAATACAAATAATAAATTGTGTGTTAAATTGAGTGAGTGATGTAGGCCCATTGAATTTAAAATGTAGGAATTTGGCCTAGTGCAGTAGACTGTAGAAGAAGGGAGAAGAAATAAGGTAGGCTTAGCAAAGTGAAAACATGGTCCCAATGCTGCTACCCTAGTGTCAGGCTGTGTGGTTTTGCCGGCTACTGGCTTACAGTTTATTCAAATTTACGGAGCTAGAGTGCATTTCCATTGTATTTGAAATTGTTTATAAGTACACAATGCTTATCAACTCATCATTAATTAGGGATGTAAGATGACGCTGTGTATAAACAGTTGATAAACTGAACATTTACCAGTGAATTTATAACGGTAAACTTTGGCTTTCTAGGGAAATGCCTAGGCATGAAAACGTAGGCCAACTTTTCCAAATTGTCATTTTGTACTTTTTTAAAAGCGTACACGAGCCTTCAACCCCCTCCCCCAGCGTACATTTTGTACGCTCGTGACCCCTTATGTCATTCATTGGTTTCTACAATTTTTGTTTATTCTTGAAAATTGCAGTTTTCAGTTCAACTTCCATTTATGTAATGACTGTATAGACATTACCATCTAAATTAAATCAGTTCAATAATTTTCCCTGCTCCAGCAATGGACTTCAATTTTTTGTTTACTTGGAGACTGGTACAGGACTATTCCCTATCTTAGCAATCAACTTCAGTTTCTTATTTACATGCCGGCTGTTACTAGACCATTCTTTATCCCAGCAATGAACTCGGTTTCTTGTTTACTTGCAGACCATTACAAGACCATTCTTTATTCCAGTAATAAATGCCAGTTTCTTGTTTACTTGTAGACCATTACAAGACCATTCTTTATTGCAGTATCAACTCCAGTTTCTTGTTTACTTGCAGACCATTACAAGACCATTCTTTATTCCAGTAATCAACTCCAGTTTCTTGTATTTACTTGCAGACCGGTACAAGACCATCCCCTATCCTAGCAATCAACTCCAGTTTCTTGGTCTTCAACTTGACCTGTTGGATGACTTTCGTGTACGATTACTTCAAGTTGCTAAACAGGAGGCCCGCAATCCACTCAGCACTGTCTACTGTGCAATAATCAACTCGGTGAATTATGTTATAAGAGTACTGGAAGAATGGTCAGATCAATTGGTAACTTTAAAATCCACTGATTATGAATCAATTATGTAAATTAGCAGATGTGATTACTAAATTAGTGTTAATAGTTCATAAACAAAATTATTGTATAAACATCTTGTCCATGTCTATTGTGTGCTCACTGAAAGAATAAATCTATGCAGTTCCTCATATATGCAGTTCCTCATAAATATATGTATACTTTTCTATTTTATTATTATATTTATCACTTATTAATGAATAGTGTAATCATAGTTGCGTGAAGGTCCCTTAAGTCATCATTGTTATTAGGGGACCCTCAATAAATTTAGTTTGGTTTGTCAAGATTGTAAAGGATTTATTTTTATTGCATATCATGTGATTGTCTGCAATCACTTAAATGAAACAGGGTTTGTGCACATCTTTAAATTTTCTTGAATGTCCTGGAAAAACAAATGAGAAGACAAATCGAAGACAGGAAGAATGTCAAATGCTGAAAATGGCCTGGTTGGTTCAGACAAACTTGTGCAATTCAGTGAATGGAGTTGTTTGAATATATTTTTTTTTCTTGTCTTTCGTGGGTGCATCCCACCTTTATTTCAACCATCGCAGAATAATTGTTCTTTGACACAATTTGTTGTCAAAGAATTATATCACATAATTATAATATATATCTACACATACAAACATGCATATCATACACATATCAAATGTATGTTAAAAAGTATGGTAATCTATGTACATTTCAACTGTTAAATATATAAAGATACTGCAAATAGATAACAAAAATATGATAATGTAAATGAATGAATCAGTGTTGGGTAGAGAGGCTATAATCCCAGTGGAGGTATAGAAGCCTCCCTTTTCGTCAAGACATGTTATTTTGAAATGATAATTGTAGAATAATAAAACAGATTGAAACAGAGTTAGAACAATAGTACGTAGTGATAATAAAATGGAAAACCATAAGGTTGGGGTCCACACATGGTGCAAGTCCAAAACTATCTGTTTATTTTGGCTCTGTGTGTATGTGAGATGCATCGTACCCACATTTTTCTCAAAATAATTAACATCCAAAGATAATAGAATATTTTTATTTCATTTCTTTAATTACCACCACTTTTTGTTTAATAAAAATAAACCAAATGTTCACTAAAATATTTAAACATTATGCAAACACACCTTTGTCAAGGGTACAGTGCTTAAATGCCAATGGTATATTTTAACTTACGAAGATCGATCTTTGACCATTTTTTTTGCTTTATGATTATTTAATAAATGTTCGCCTATATTTTAGTAAGGCGGTGCTTTCTTAATTTTGTGTATTAATTATGTTTGCATGTAATTTTAATTCAAATATTGATAATCATAATCATTAACTGTTGATATCTGCTATGGTGTATATATTTGCTTTCTGTTGTGTGTTATAAACAGTAAATAAACATTTAATAATTCAATTAATTCACTTAATTAATTTATCACTCACCAGACTTGCACAGTTGTTCTGCGCGAATGGGCATGGTTTGGCCCTATCCAGTGCAAGGCAGTCACCGCACGCCGAACAATTACCGTAACCATGGGAACGTGTACTTCTACAGTTATTTTAATGAATGTTTCATGTTTAAAGCCCGATTACAGTTAAAATTTCTTGATTTTAAAGCAAGGTGTTTTGTTAATTACGTTTCTGAAGTTTACAAAATCATTGGAAAATGGATAGTGAGAACCCTGCCGTATGTTAAAATCTGCTGTATAGAAAATTATAAAAGTTTACATAGGCCTACATCATTATAAATGTCCAAATACAGAGTTAAAACTAACAAGTAAGGTCTAATAATAATAGAGCCCAATGTATAATAATAAATAATAATACAGTATAGAGCATAACCATTAATTAAAATAATAATACAGTACATCATTAGTTTATACAAGTTTAAACATATATAAACACCCAAATATATATGAAATATAATAAATTAAAGTCTCTGCGACATACGCCCATCGAAGAAGACTATATTGTTTACTGTATGTCCATGTTATGTCAACTTTGCTGCAGCTGAGACAATTATCATTCGCTGAACAACCACCCTGGATAGGCGTGTACTCCATCTCGCGGTGCCACAAAAGAACCGAGTTATTTTGGCGTGTCAGTACCACAAAAAGCACTGACAGGTTTAAGTGATTTAAGATCATTAGTTGTACACACACATTTGTGTTGCTGAGGAAAGAATTCTACTCTATAGTTCAACTTTAGGCGATCAACCCTGCCTTACTTTACAGGTACTTCCCCCATACTCGTGGGAATTCCTTTGCTAACCAACAAATTTTTACACTTGTGAGAAAAACAGAATTTCCCACGAGTGTGAGAAAAAGTGACAGGTCCATCGCCTCCGAATAAGATAAAACTTAATATGCACTCAACTAACATGCATTTAAAATTGGTACAGCATACATGTTTTAAAATCGCTGATATTTTGCTGTTAAGCGATATAATGTGTCCTTGAAATTTGAAAAATTTAACCTGGAATTGTCTTGGAAATTGGATTGTAAGGATGCTTTTTATTGCATTTCAGGTGATTCTTTGCAATCAGTTCAATGCGGGTGGAGCTGCTCAGTTACAGTTTGATATGACGAGAAGTCTCTTTCCTTTATTTGGTGCTTATACACAACGACCTGAAAACTACTTCAAAGAGTAAGTATACAAACAACAGTTTTGCATTTCTACAATGTTCTAATGTGTGCTGTGATTACAATTGTTTTCACAAAGATTTTCTACTACTGAACTCTCACTCCACAATTGTCCCACTTCTAGTCACAAAAATCAGTGAACCAAATTGATGAAAAAAGTGGCAATAGCATACTGATGAAAGAATTTTATTATACAAAATTATGTTGATTTAGAAAAATTTATTATAAAGGCACTATACTTCATATTTATGGAATCCTCTTTCTTGCTTTTGCTTTTCTGTTTATTATTATTATTGATACAATTGTCTAAAGGTAAGTCAAATTTTGAGCTGTTTCGGTGCATTGATGCGACTGTATAAGGTGATTTATAAATTGTTGATTGATTGATTGATGATCTCTCTTGTTTTGCTTTTCTATTATTATTACTATTATTACTATTATTACTATTATTATTTATACAATTGTCTAAAGGTAAAATTTTGAGCTCTTTGGGTGCATTGATGCAAATGTATAAGGCGCTTTATAAATTGTTTGTTTGATTGATTAATTGATGGCAGTCTAAAATAAAGCAAAAGACA